TAGAAGATAAAAGATAAGGAATGCATAAAAAGTGGGTTTTTCTCCCAAAACTTACAAGAAAAAGAAAGGGATGAATATGTTACCTTGTTTATGGATGAAATGAATGTAGTATCTTCCAAACTCTTGCTAAAATGATGAAGATAAGAAGAAAATCGGCTGAATGGATGAAGGAGGATGAAGGATGGTGATGATTTTCAAGGTGACCCTTGAGTTTTAGGGAGAGAGAGGGAGAGGAAAATTAAATTTTAAAAGGATGCAAATGAGGAATAATGAAAGGATTAAGGTATTTATATGTGGAATATGGGAGGGAAATGGGGGAGGGAGGGGCCGGCCATGGAGAGCCCAACCGAAACTCAAAATAATTTTTTTTTATAAAAACAAAGCCCAAAATGCATAAAATGCCATTTTCTCAATTTTGACATTTTTCTTCAAATTAAAAGCCCATGATGACTAAATTTATTTATATAGAAAGGTTTTATATTTAAAACATTAAAACTTAGTGTTTTATATAAATTGGGTATAAATTAGAGCATTTGGTACTGTATGGGACATTTCAGATAATTTCGGGTCGAAACCGGACTTTTTAAGCAACTGCCGGAATCTCTAGAAATTTTTCGACCAAACTAACCTAACTAATTCCTAATCTTATAAATTATCTTCAGTAACACTAATACAAACTTAATAAGAGCTAACCTGGGAGTTCCAATTTGACGCCTGTCACACACAGTTCGTAGTATACTAATTCAGCGGTGGTCCAAATTCCACATGATTAGACTAAATAAAACAAAGGTAATGTGCACCCCTTTCTGGGTGGGACTGTCAACTCAATAGCGGCAATCAACAATTGCCACGGCCCGGGGACACGCCCGAGTTAACAAGTAGCATTTACGGACGGGGACTTTATTTGGAAACATACTCCCAAGTACATCAATTTAACATTTATATCATAGTGCAAAACCGTCAATATTTCATGACATAAACAAATCTTGACTAAACAGTTCTTTAGTCTTGGCATAAACAAATCTTGACTAAACAGTTCTTTAGTCCAACAGTTTTAAACAAATCTAACAGTATAGTTTGCATAACTTCATGCTTTTCGCCCAGTTTAAATAAACAAAAAATATTAAAAGTGGGGTCGTGAATACTCACTGGTTAGACGATGAATATCCGAGGAGATGACGTTTGATGCGCTCAACGTCCGCCCTAACCTTCCTAAATAGTCCGAACTCCAATAATTAGATCACCTAACGAGTCTCGATAAGGATAAAGTCAAATTATATCTTATGTAATGCCAACGGGTTTTTAAGAATTAAAGTTGATACTCTTATGATTTGTTCTAAAAATAGCCCAAAAATTATATATTTTTAAAATCAAAGTCCTTGCACAAAAGCTGATATTTGGGACAGAATATAAATTTTGTTTCTACTAATTTTTGGTCCCACAAATCACTATAAAAAGAAACCTTCCAAAAGTCATTTTATGTCCAACTTTTTATATCATCCAAAATAATGAGTTAAGCAGACTTTTCCCAAATATCAAGAATTTTGGATGGGTTTAAGGCACTCATTAATACCCTACAACCTTGAGTAACACAGCCCCCAAAACAGATTGCACACTCTTTGAGTGACGGCCATTTGGGGGGTCTAAACTCATCATTTTTCAGAGATTTTAACTCCATTTTAAAGCTAACAAATAAGGCTACTTCTAGAAAAAGAATTACCCAATTCCATTGAGTTTTTTTTTTTAGGAAGATAAAACCGATTTGAGATGCATGCAAGATTCTGCCAGATTTCAAAATACATCTTTTCATGATTAAATTCCACATGTAATGGGTTTTCTCCTACTTTCTTAGAGTTCAAAATTCGTGGTTCATAGATTACCATCATTTGAAGACATTTTCATGTCTTAGATGTATAATCTCCCCTTTTGAGATCTCCAGAAACTTTAATTACAAGAACAAGAAGTAGGAGTAGAATAAATATGAATTTTTGATATTTTATATAGGTAAGATAACTTAGTATAATACCTTTTGCTTGAAATCTTAAATATTCTTCAAGATTTATAGATTTCTGAAGATACTTGATGATGGAATCGGCTGGAAGGGGTTTGATTTAGAGAGAGAGAGATTAGCGAGAGGAAATGCTTATAAGGATTGGAAGTGAGAGTTTTCAAAAGATGTGGGGTATTTATATGTGGGTTTTAAAGAAGAAAATGGGCTAGCCTCTTAAGGCCCAATTCCAATAAAAGAAAAAAATTATTTTTCTTTTAAACTAAATAAAGCCCATTTAAATTTATAACCAAAATACAATACAATTTGCCAAACATTGATAAAAATGACATTATTAATTCAAAGCTCCACCTTTTTGATAAAATTATTTGGACATTCAAATGAGACTTTTGTATTTAAATTTGGATTTTATAATATCAACTTTATATTATTGGAGCATTTTTAATATATTTGGCATTACATAAATTAACTTTATCAACTACTCGTCGAAACAAGGTTCTCTGAACTATATTTGGGAACTAAGCCAGATGACTTCTAATCAACATGACTAGATCCTAATAAAATATAATTCTAAATATAAAATTTCTATAAAGGTGCTAACCTGATGCTCAAAAAAATGACGGATGTCACAGTTTTAATGAAATTAATGAAAAAAAAAATCCCTAAGGAACAACTTTTGATGCTTACAACACCTTGGTTTGTTGATATTGCAAACTATTTGATTGTTGGGATCATATTACCTGAGTTAAAAAAATAAATGAAGAAATTTGTTTCTTGACTCAAAGCATTATCTTTGGGATGAACCCTTTTTGTTCAAACTAGGGGATGACCAGATTATGAGAAGGTACCTTTGGGATGAACCCTTTTTGTTCAAATTAGGGGATGAACCTATTTTGATCAAGGCGTGTTCGTAAGAATGCAAGTTGATTTAGACGAACCTCGTCATCATATCCTTCAACTAACCAAGCAAACTTCTAAAGTCCATTAAGAAGGCTAAGAAGCAAAAGAGAGTGTCTCAAAATTGCAACGACAAAAGCCCCTATTATTGCACCCATTAGCAATATCGTGTCTTCTATGATTCGACCCCCAAATGTCTCAAGTCATGTAATCAGTAATCCTTCTCTCATTGGGAAAACTTTTATATATGTGATTGCCACATATGGGTGTTAATCAAGATATTCAAGAGAGGGCTAGAATAAAATTATGTGTTATACAAGGATTTAACCAAGTACCTATTGATGACCTTTGGAGACATCAGGCCTCGAGTCATTGCCTATATATCCCTAGAAGAAAACCGTAAAAAGTAATTATTTCCTCTAAATTTATTTGTAATTTTCTTCCATATGACAAAAGATATTGACTTAAGCATTGTAGGGCCATTTGTCATCTGATGGCTACCCCTTAACAATTGTTCTTACAACATCAACCATCAAATGACATAAAACAACCATCAAATGACATAAAACAACCATCAAGTGACATAAAACCTATGCCAAAATTTGGTAATTGTCTCTAGTACTTAAGACCCTCGACATTGGCAAACATCGCCTGAACTTAAGTTTTAAACGGTTGATTGACAGACATCTCCTCAACTTAATTCTTAAACGACTGATCAATAGGCATCACTAGAACTTATGTTTTAAATATCAACAGACATCGCCTTAACTTAAGTCATGAAAGACTAATAGGCCAAAGACGCCAAAATAAATATTTAACAACCAAAAGATGTTAGACACATGGAGTGACATCAACCGTGGCATTGTGGTCAGTATGCGGCATCTTCTCTATTGTGCTCTTGTGAGAGCTGGCTTTGTTGTGATGGATATTTGACTTAGGAGGCTTATGGGTCGCCCCTAACATATGTGATTTGTTTGTAAGGTGGGTATCGATATAGTGCTCATGCACGCCGCATCTTACATGTAGTATGTGTGGATCTGCAATCAAATGTACAAGCTTGTGTGGCCATATATCTGACACTTGCCATATCGGTCGATATGCAAGCGTATGCGTTTTTCGAGCTCGATTCATCCCATCATATGTTATTCATATGATTATTCGTTTGTTGTTTTAACTAAGACTTTGTACCCGTACTGTCTGATATCTTGAGATCAGTTTTTGCATGTTTGTAATACCTTATTTCATTATATTTGTATATCCGTGCACTAGGAGTTTGGCTTGCCGTGTATTTTTGTCTTCCCTTTCCTCACGGTAGCTATTTCAAGAGGTTTCAAGAGTTTTATCGCAATTGTAGTTATTATTTGGTTTCTTTCATTTGTTATTAGACTAATTTTTACTAAAGTTTATGGTTGGATTTCATTAATTGTTGGGAGATACTTTGGAGATTTTAACTCTTTATTGGAGACTATATTTTGGAGATTTTGTATATTGGTTTTGATTATGTTTTGAAGCAACCTCCCTTCTTTAGAAATGGTTATCAGAGTCGGTAACTGGAAAGATATGCCAACGAGGGCGTTGGGCTCCCAAGGGGAGTGGATTGTAAGATGCCACGTCGGTTAAGGAGAGAAACTAAAGTTGTCCTATAAGAAATTAGATACTTTCTAAATCAGACACGTTTTAAAACAGTGAATCCTGGTATGGACAAAGCGGACAACATTTAGTAAGATTGTCCTAAAATGTTATAATCCAGGGGAAAGGTGTGCATGTTTTCTTTCCTATGAATACATAATGTTTCTATTTTGTGAAAGTCTGGTGCTTTCTGTGAAGGTTCATTTATCCAACAACTTCTAGGTGATCTAGGTATCACGAAAAATGGATTTTGAGATATATATCTTCTGAAATATAGATGTGTGCAAGTATGTAATTAGGTTCGTGATTTGCACGGGTGATATGACTTCCACCAAGAACGTTTTATAAAACTTTTTGACTCTCGAATTTAGAGTATCCTACTTTCACACAATTCATAGAGTTCAACAAGCAACTGAGATTTGCCGATTAAGGGTGGGTGTAATGCTCTTTGAAGTAGCGGTCGTTATATATGAAAGTTACAGACAAATTATTATCATTTTCTATTAATTCTTAATAACTCTCACGTACAAAGATGTTCACAAATAGAGTACTATGTACATATATGATCACTTTTATTTTCGAAATAAAAATTTAACCCACCTCCAATTATGATAATATTAATACACTAAAACACCAGCAAAGAATTCTTGATATCATACCCCATCTTCTCCAAATTAGGGTTTATGGCAAATTGAATCATAGGTGGTGGTCCACAAGCCAAAGCCAATGTATCTTCAGAGACCTCTGGAATGTGTTCCCTCATAATATCCTCAGTGATGAACCCTTCGCTGTATTTCCACCCTTCTCTTACCGATTTCGCCACCACATACCACACCTTCACTCTTTCTTGATACTTCTCTGCCCATGCATCCAGTTCTTCTCTCAGTAGTATATCATCTTCTGTTCTATTTGCATACACCACATACATCTTTGTATCATCTTCTGGATCCCTCAAGATCGACTGCATCACTTGATATATGGGTGTTATTCCAGTCCCACCTGCAAACATGGCTAACTTGGTGGCAAACTTTTGTTTTCCATGGACCGAAAACGTCCCTTTCCCCATGTACTCGATGTGTCCCAATGGACCTTTGATGTCGAGTAAAGAACCCAGTGGCAATGACTCTAGATACTGTGACATCAGACCTCCATTTGGAAACTTGGGTTCGACCCCTTTGAAGTAGATTTTAACCAGTAACTCAAAGTATCCAACTTCATCAATGGTGCTAGTTGGTGTGTATGCTCTCATGCAGAGCTTATCGTCAATGGTAGCACATAAGAATATGTGCTTGCCCACTGGTAACCCTAGAACTTGATCTTGTGAAGGAAGGGCGAACCTGAAGAGCCTGACATCGTGAGAAACTGCTGTTTTTGAGATGAGCTTGCATGGGGTCTTTTCACGAGGGATTAGGGCTATGTTTCTTGTTGGCATGATTTCTTTGATGGTGGCTAGGTGTGAGGAGATGTAATTGTTGGCACCATGGACCGAGTTATTCGGTGATGATGCAGCCGAATCAGAGTTGTAGCCCATGGTTATGAGCTCACCGATTCGAAACTCTTCCAGGAGCTTCTTGGCCTTATCGGAATGGATTGCATCGAACTCTTCAGTACAGTCGGTTCCAGCATTGATGAGAATGCTGTCACTACCACCGGGATGGTCTTTGAGGAAGTTGGTGCAGTCGTAGATGTGACCATGGACGACAATCCAAGCCGAGTCGGCTGAGTTGTGTTTCTTGACTTCAGACATGGTGTAGGTTAAAGAAGCAGTGTTCATGAAAGGGGAGGATACACTTTTCTTGAGGGTTGGATGAGCCAACTCCGATGAAATCTCGAGGTGTTTCTCACGAGCCATCCATCCACCGGACTGGTTTCCGGGTTGTGTTGGGTGCTCGAACACGATTCCGATTTCGCCCTTGTGTGGTTTGCACATGTTGGTCTTCACTCGGAACCAACAATTGTTCATCATACCCTACATAAAACAAAGTATCATAAGTTATGATTGTGAATTATAATTTTTCAATAAGGACATGTGGACTTCTTTTTCTTAATTATGCCTTTAAATTTAGAATTGAATAGTTTTTCAAATGTATTTTTTTAGATTATGGTTATCAACTTTATCAGTTAGTTTTTATTAAATATGATTAGCTTATTGACAAACAGTTGTCTTTTCAATTACCGGTTATCTTATCAACTAATTCATCAGACATCAGCTATTATCAATCAGTTTGTCTTATAATTCTTGTTTAAAAGCGAATGTTTGTTGTTTTATATGACAAAGGGTAATTAAAATGATCTTGTACACATAGAAAGACAATTATTGGGGTATAGAGTATGGTTGCGTTGGTTGGGTTGAAGGCATTTAAACAAATCAACTTAATGTTTGCGGTTTGAAAAAACTTAACTCAAGCAAAACTACAACTCAATCCAACCCAAAACCGTACGGGTTGAGTTGGTCGGGTTGATCGGATTGACACTTTGGTACATCGTTTTACAATCTAGCTAAGTTTTTTTGTTTAAACGAAGTAAAATTAAAATGATAACACACAAAAAATACTAACAAACTCAAAAAATAGAGTTGAGGGTTCATGCAAATAAGAAAGGAAAGTTACGGTTGAAATTGTAATATAATTTTGAATATAGCTAATTATGAATTGGTCTAATGTCTAGTGTACATATGTTAATCAAGAACTTAAGAATTATATTATAAAAGGGTTCATCGAGTTAGGTTGTTCTCAAATGACCATAACCCAATTTCAACCCAATAGATACGTGTTGACCTAACTTTATTATCAACTATGTGTCGGATTACATCAGATTGAACTTTTTCAGATATTTTCAAGTTGAGTTAGCCGGATTTTTCGGTATTTTGAGATGTAAAACTATTATCTATATTATCGTATTAAGCAAATTTAGCAAAAGTCTTAAAGTCATAAAATATTAAATGACCAAGATACCCTTTATGCTACCCTTATGTTACTTTTTCACCCCCTCCTCTCCTCACATACACTCACCTCTTCACATACACTCACCTTCTCACAACTGATTTTTTTTTAAATTATAATTTTAAATGTACACTATATACTCCTATAATTAGTTAATTAATTTACTTTACGTCCTTTACTTTTGAATGTTTCATTTTAAACATTTATCAAATTAACATACATAATCGTATATCAATTAAAACATGTTTAAAAAATACATTTTTATTTTAACAAGTTACACCATTATAATTGTCTCGTTAATACCTTCGAAATGAGTCCAATATTGAATAGTTTTTTACTTAATTATATTATTATATATTCTATAAAAAAATATTTTTAATATTTACGATTTATACTTTTATAGTTATTTATTTATTATATACTATATATTTTGGGATTAGGCTGTCCAAATTGCACTGTATAATATGTTCTAAATTAATATGTTCTTGGGTTTTTTTGAAATATATATATACATGTATTAATTCAACCTTAATCTGAGTTTCTGGACAAGAAAGAGGGTAAGCAGTTGAAATTTCATTCTAAAACTCATCTTGATCTGTCAAATTTGTAGTTTTCTTTATTGGTTTTGAATGTTTATCTTAAAACTCAAGTTTCTTGGTTCTTTGCTCTTGGTGTAAATCGAACACATTTGTGGAGTCGTTTAAATATGTTGGATATTTAACTGGCATACAATTTTTTTCATCGATAGTCTGTAATTGGAACCATAACTCTTATTTATTCAAATTGTATTAATATGTAAAGACCAAGTGTAACTTATATCATCGTTAAATCTTATCTTATAAAACAAGTGGAACTTCAAAATCATTAAAATTCATGGCTCCCGTCGCATTGCACGGATACACAACTAATATATATATATATATATATATATATGTGTGTGTGTGTGTATGTATATATATGTGTGTGTATGTATGTATATATATGTGTGTATGTATCTATTTCACATTAGTTTAAAGAAAAAGGGTAGCATGAAGTCAGCGAGCACATCTATGTCAACAATAACTAATTATTTAAAGAAAAGGATGGGATAAAAATCACTTGTTCCAAAATCAAACGTCTTAAATCTAACCCATCAATGAAATTAAGATACTTAGATCTTTATTCTTTTTAAGTTTATTTAATTCATGTTTATTTGATCTCTCTCTACTTACGTATATTTCATATGATTGGTGGACATAAATAAAACATGAAAATTTTCAGACAGTTGATTTTTATCAAAAGGGTATGAGGTTGGGAGTTTGATCGTAAATTACCATGAGATTCCAAATGAGCTTGTCGGGTTGGGTGTTGAGGGTCTGGTCCCAGGCTCGAACCGCGATCTCTTTGGCTCCAAGGAGGTCCAGAACCTCAACCTCCAGTGACCAGAAACACCAACACCAATATTTCCCATACTTGTTTGGTTTTTCCCTAACGTCCAGGTTGCAAACGTTCCATGTTTCCCCTCCGTCCAATGTTACCTCGACACGTGTCACTTTCTTACCACCTCCTGTTTAATTAATTCAATAATTGATTAAATATACTCAATCCTCAACCTTTGGAGACCCATTAATTAATTACTTTCATCTTGGAATTATCGATTTTGATTTTGTTTTTAAATCATTTTATCAATAAAAATAAAATTTATGAGCTAAAAATAACAAAAAGTACCCTTCTTATGTACATCTTTCATAAAAATAGAATAAAAGATTAGTGAAGGTGGGTGTGGTGTGTTTGAACTCTTTTTTTTCTTTAAATTTTATATTTTGACACAACAATAAAATTGGATTTATAATACGTAATCAATTTTAAAGTGTTTTAATAGACAATTTTATAGAACTTTATTTAAAACACCAAAAAATAAAGAGTCATGTATAAAAACGTTGTAATAAATAACTTAATTTAATTTAAGTCTTTTAGTACACTTTTAATTAACTATTTCATGGGACATTATTTAAAAAAGTATCTTATAAAAACAAGTATCATACAAAAATAGACTTATTTTTGATGAAAAATAATATAGTTTTTTTATTAACCTGGATATCCAACTCGTTATGCGAGTCGATTAATTTCAGGACGACCATCTGTTTTATCGATAGCCCGGAGTCACCGCATTTGAATCTCCGTGGTCACAAGAGGATTTTTATTTCTCATTGGATTTGAACCTGAGACCTCTAGGTACTTTTGACCTTCGAAGTCAAGCTCAAACCATTCAAACACCACATTTATAGTTAAAAATAATATAATTATATACTTGGTAGTCGGTCTCTAACTATCACTGCCTACATATTAGAATACTACACTTATTTAATTTCGATTTAGTAGACCAAAATATTCTTTTTCTATTTTTTTAAATCATAAAATTAAAGTAATATTTGCAAGTTGTCATCCATGTGTTTTGTTGACTGCCAAAACAGTACCAGTCTATGCTCCCTTTTCAAAAATATATGTACATATATAATTAATAAATAATAAATATTTGTCATTTATTAATGAAATTAACTAAATAACTAAAATTGTTTTAATAAGTTGAATCAGAATCTTTTGCATGTTTTTTAATTTATTTTTTACTATGATGGTTAGTTAAATAAATCTGAATCAGATTAAATCATATATTAAAAATATAAGAAATAAATTTTAATGTTAATATGTAAATGAGAAAAGTAATAAATAGTTTATTTAACAATGTATTTAATCTACTCATAATGAATGGTAGGTTAAATACACTCTTATTTACTAATTTCCTGTTTACATATATTTTAAAATTTTACAGTTTTAACATGTGATTTGATCTGATTCTGAGATAAGCAAGTAGACATATAGAATAAACCTTTATATAATTTAAAAAGGAAATTGAATGAAAAGAGTAGGGAACCAACCAGAATAAGCATAGCCCCTCAATGTATAAGGTCTTTGAGTAGTCCATGAATTAATGGGTAATATCTCTTCGTGGCAAGGAGTTGTAATCACCGAGTTTATGTTCAGCTCGTTGATTATGTATTGAGGCTTGTACCACCATCCTGAATCACCATGACAATAACATTATATATATTATAGTTATAGGTTATTTTGAGAAGTGATAAATATTTGAGAAGTAAATAAATGATCTTAGTTTTTTTACGGTTAAAATCGAATTTAACTAGTCAAGAATGCGATTTTGATTTGACTGGTAAAAAATTTGCAGGTATGCAAAAAATAGAATTGATAGTTTCGTAACTTCTATAAATAGACGACAAATGTGTTTACATATGAACTATTTTAACTGATTCACATATGAACACGTGTGATTCATGTATGAATTAATTAACTGTTTCACATGTAAATGACACGAAATGAACCCGTTTGTCATCTATTTCTAAAAGTTACGAAATTTGCCCTCTATTTTTTACATACTCCATACAAAGAACTATCCGAGATTTTACGGTTAAATGTCGGCCATATGAAAGGATAGTTTTACTTCTCAAATAAACCTTTTCGTGTGTGTAAATATATAATACTTGTATCTATCTATATCTATTTATCTATATATGATTTATATGTACCTTCAGAGTTGGCTAGTTCTGCATCTACGTGCGACGGTAACACACGGTTGTCTTTGAAGTGATAATAGTTGTCTGACTCCGGCGTCGTCACTATGATACGTTTCAGCCACTTCACCATCCGGCCACCAATGAATCCTGGAATTATCATCCTCACCGGAAACCCATGATCAGGCAACAACTTTTCTCCGTTTTGCATGTATGCCATGATGATATCTCTCGCAGGATCCATTGCCATCTCGATCCTTAAGCTGGTTCCGTATTTTGAACCACCGCCGCCGGGAAGATCCTCCGCGCCCTCGAAGCACACATTCAGCGCCCCTTTCTTCCGGCTGTAAATCCCACATCGTTTCAGGATATGGACCAATGGCACCCCTTTCCAAACCGACGTCGCTATACCGGCGGCACCCCAATTGAACCCTATTGTCTGTTTCGTCAGGTTCTGCTCCTTTCGGCGGTTTCCGGCGCAGACTAACGTCACGGGCAATTCCCTGCTCGGAAACTCGTTCACAAGCTGGGTCATGGTGAAACGAGCAGGTCGTTTGACCAAACCACAAATCTCCACGGTCCAGTCCTCCCAGGTGGAGTTAGGGACCAGTCCATGGTTACGGACGTAATGAATAGGTGAAGGTGTGATGAACCCATACTGCATGAGCTTAGTCAAAGGTGGCTCGGAGTTGAAGGGATGTTTTCCGGTGAGTCGAACCATGGATGGGTTACGCTCGATCCATTGATCTGCTGTGCCAAGATCTCTAGCATCAAAAACGGAGCTTTCCAATTCGGAGTTGGCCTTTTTAATGGCGTCACGATAGTCAACCTCATCATCTTCATCATCCTCATCGGAATCGTACTGATCGGCCGGAAACGACTTACGCGTTGAAAAATCTCGAGTGGCGGCGGGATAGTTGTAGCCACGGATGGGTGAATCGGAACGCTGGTGGTTGGGGCTGAAGGAACGAACAACTCCGGCGGCGGATAGACCAGGTTCATGGCGGAACTGGCGGTTTTCGACGGAGGCCGCCATAGGCTTAAATTGTATTGGGGTTCCCCTGTGTTGTTGTATCCGATGGGCTGCTGAGAAAAGTGAGACACAATCGTTGCCTTAATCAACACACATGTATATGTGTGTATATATATAGACACCAAGACTAATGGATTCGTAAAAAATCTGACAATATATTTATATATTAAAACAAATAGTGACGTAGAAAAGAGCCATTTATTTAAATTCAAAAATAAATTTGACTTACTTCTCGACATTATATATATATAAATATACTTATTTTTTTTATACATATATATACTTATTTTAAAAATATATATATATATATATATATATATATATTATGTAAATAATTAATTCTTAAAATGTGTAATTTACCGATATAAAAGAATTAGCAAAATAAGCACCTTTTTAGGTGTTTTGGAATAGTCAATTGTTAGAAAATCGATTTTTAGTTATACACGAAAATCTCATAATTTTCAGCGATTGTGAGAGGTTGTTGGTGAAATGCATTGGGGTTTTGTTTAAACGCATGGACTTTTTAGGACAGCAAAATACCATTTCTAATCAATACATATTTACGCTAAAGCTTTATCAAAAATATATGGTCTATTTTCCAAAATATCTAAAAAGTAATTATTTAGTCATTTAAGTGATTCTCTTTTATATAAAAATACTCTTATACATATATACTATAGGATTGGGTTCCGATGAGAAGTAGTTAAGATGAGAAACTTTAGAAGTGATCTCCACCTTTAGATGCACATTTGGATGAGATGCACCAGATTAATCTTCATTTCAAACGTAATTCATGAGTGGATTTAAAATTAAAGATAATCAAGGATCCAGATCTTTTTTTACGTTTATCACATGAACTCTTTTTATCACACGATCATTCGTTATATTTAATAAATGGTTATTTTGTTAATTGTTTTATGTATTTCAGTCATATATATATATTATTCTCCTTAGAGATAAATTCTCTTAATTCTAATACACACATATGAGGCTTAGCAAATGAGAACTGTGTAGTTTGTAATAACGTGAGATCCAATGTGAACCACTCATTTGAGATATTTAAAGATATTTTTTAAATAAGGGTAATTTAGTTGTTTTATTTATAACAACTCATAAAATAGGAAATATTTGATTAATTTTAATTACCTAATATATTAATTACTTAATATATATTGTCTTTTAAAGATGTTTGTGGATCCAAATGTATCACAGTGATAATATTCATAATCTATTTTCATTGTTTTATAAAGTGTATCACAATATGAAATTTTCGTTACTTTCGTTGCTTTAGAAATGGTATCACAATATGTATTTTAGTTACTTTACAAATGTATTACAGTGTGCATGTTGTATGTATATATAAATATAATAGTGGATATCGCTTGTATGTATCTGTTTTTTAATGATATTCTTTTAGGTATCACAGTGTACCTTGACGGAGAGAGGAAAGAGGTGAGATGAGAGTTTTAAAATATCTAAAATGCCCTTAACTAATATTTTAAGTTAAAAAATATCATAATTATTAAATTCGTAATTTAACATTTGATTTATGGTTGAGATCGGATCTCACGGTTATTAGAAAATACTGAGTTCTCCCTTGAATAGCCATCCCTACACACACACACACTCACATATATATATATATATATATAGAGAGAGAGAGAGAGAGAGAGAGAGAGCGCTTAGTTCAAATGTTAACCCGAATTATTATGTTAACTTTATAAACTTTTTAGACCAATCACAATTCATCTTAGGAGTTGTTTGGTAGTTGTTGAATGGTTTGGTGTAGAATGATTAAGTGATCAGAATGATTAAGAGGCTTTCATGATATAGTGTAAAATAAAATATAATTGTTTGGTAATTGTTTACAATGAAATCAGGGCGCTTAAAGGTTAAGGGAGGCTTAAGATACAAAATCATTTAGAGAGTTTTAGAACCATTAAAAGACAGACTTTTTTTTGCCAAACAAGATTCACCTTTTAATGATTCAGGTGTTGTCTCTTAATTAAATTATTAAAATGTAAACAAACAACCCCTTAGTTTCTTCACTATTTAAGAATTTAATGTTAAGGGTATATATGTAATTTTTTTTGTAACTCCTACATCATTAGTTGGGGGTTACAAGATCCATAAAATCTCATGATTTTTGCATTTTTAATATTGATCTTGTGAATTTTTTCATTTTTTAAAATATTGATCTTCCATTTTTAATATTTATAAATTTGTGATTGGTGGAGGAGATCTGCTAGTAAAGTGTTTGTTATCGTTCAAGAAATTACAAATAAAAACATTGAAAAACAACACGACAACATTGAGAATGTTAAAATTGTTTATGGTGACAATCGGAGTTCAAGATCGAAAAGCGAAGTAAATAATCAAAGCGAGTGTCTTGATAATTATAAACACAAATTGACATGTATACACTTATATGAATACAAATTGATATATATGAACACGTGTGACAATTACGAACACAAATTGAACATATATGTGAACACTTGTGGCAATTATGAACATAAATTAAACATATATGTGAACATTTGTGACAGTTATGAACACAAATTGAACATATACGGACACTTGTGGCAATTATGAACACAATTGAACATATACGATTTGTAACCGATTTCTACGATTTGTAACCGATTTCTACTGTTTGTAATCGATGTCATTGAATGCACATTATCTTATACATAAATACTCTTCAACAACTATGTTCACATATGTTTGTGAGATTACACATTTAATAAATTAAATTTATAAAATGATTAATCTCAACCATTTATTTTAAAAATCAATGGTCATGATTAGTTCATAAAAGTTAACACAATAATTAAGGTTAACAAATGAACTTGCTCATACACACACACACACACATATATATATATATATATATAGAGAGAGAGAGAGAGAGAGAGACGAAAGATCGTGTGAAAGGGGAAGTTATTGTGATAATGATAAGTATAAAAAGAAATCTGAACTCTTGATCACTTCTAATATCATGTTCACCCATGAATTGCTTTTTGGAAGAGAATTGATATGATGCATTTCGGTGCACCTCGTTAGTGTTGACAATTCAATTAGGATTTAATCCAAGGGTGTAGATTTTTTCTTACGTTTCTCACCATAATTTCTCTTCCCACCGAAATCCAATTTAATACATAAATAAATAATTACACACACGCACACACACCCACCCACACACCCATATATATATATATACATATACATAAGTGAACCTCATTTTGAGAACCAATGAAATTATGATAAAACTTTGAGAACTTGTGCATCATGTGTTATTTTATATGAGTTTTTTTTTCTTCTAATACTGGGATTCGAAATACTGAGTAACATATTTTTGTTTCACAATGATTTTGTTTCACATGTATTTGGTTCACAATATGAACTTTTTTGACTTGTTTGTAAAACAAAAAATACACGTAAAAAAGTTTCACATCACGAACAGAATACATATGAAACAAACACATTGTGAAACATATATATGTTAATTAATACATTAAACATTATGCTTAGACGAAAAAAATCATGTACAACAAAGCCTTAAAGTAGAAAGTTCTCAAATAATTAAGCCCATATATATATATATATATATATATATATAGAGAGAGAGAGAGAGAGAGAGAGAGAGAGACGCTTGGATCATGTGAGACTAGCCTGTTTTTGTAAGACCATCTTTTTAAACTTGAAACTTCACGGTATTTTTGTTGTGAAAGTTCAGATATTTTTACCTTTACCATTTTTTGCTGTACAGTTTAAAATGTAAAAATGTAGTCTCACGGATCTTATAAAACAGCTGGTTTACTTAAACCCAACTCTATATTATATATATATATATGAGAGAGAGAGAGAGAGAGAGAGAGAGAGAGACGTGTGGATATGGAGAGTTAAACAGCTCTTGGAAGAAAAAGGAGGTAAGGAAGGGGTGGGGTGTGGGGAAAATGAAAGAGAGCCACAAAAAGGTGTTGGTGAATGCATGCAACAACTTGCAAAAATAAAAATAAAAATAAAAATAAAAATAAATAAATAAATAAAATAAAAAAGATATTGATGCGGACCACATATGTGTAGACGTCGTAATAGTCCTAGATTACATCTCCAACCTTTCCGGCCCTTTTTTTGCCTCCGATATACAGGGGCGGAATACAACCGTTGTAATCCGGGGGACCGAAATATAAGAGCATCTTCAATAGATTTTTCAAAATTGAGAAAATGGAGATTTTAGGCATATTTTTGCTTCAACAGGCTCTCCAAAATTCTTCAAAACGGAGAAAACATGAGAGAGTGTAAGCAAAAATTGATTACAATGAGAGAGAATCATTTTTTTCCATCATATTCACACCGTTAATAATCATTGATATTAATGGTTTATAGGTCACTGACATATCATTTTTTGTCTTTATTTGACCCCAAGAATGGATTGGATCGAAACGACTTTCCTGCYAATGGGAGATTGGATTCGATCCAATCATTTTTTTCCATCATATTCACATCGTTAATAATCATTGATAGTAATGGTTTATAGGTCACTGACATATCATTTTTTGTCTTTATTTGACCCCAAGAATGGATTGGATCGAAACGACTTTCCTGCCAATGAGAGACTGGCTGGGGCGGGGAGTTCGAGCTTGGTTTTAATAGAGTTTTAATTATCCATTTTGGAAATTTTTTGAAGAATATGTTGAAGATGCTATAATATTGTAAAAATTTGTAAATCCAAATGATTTGTTTTTAGACTATTAAATTTTTCGAAAAATATTGATTAATGTAATATTAAAATTTGAAACATTCAAAGTATTAACAAGAAAATAGTAATACCAATTTAAACGTTATTTACATGTAATTAATATATTATATTATTTACTCTAAAAACTAAAACATTCAAAGTATTAACCGAGAAATAGTGATACCGATGTAATTTACTTTAAAAACTTATATTTACATATAATTAATATATTATATAAAAATCTAATACATGTAATTAAATATTAATAACTTTTATAAAGTGCAAAAACAATTGC